CTCTCTCTCTCTCTCTCTCTCTCTCTCTCTCTCTCTCTCTCTCTCTCTCTCGCATGCTCTCTATTCTCTTGTGTGCTTGGTATAATGATCAGGCTTTCCTCGGTTGCACGTAAAAAAAATGGAGTTCAATTCCCAACTCTTGAAGCATTTTTATCGACAGTATATTATATAACTTTGCTTAGCTGGCAGATTCGAGTCCTACTGTGTCAAATCATGTACCCAAACTTTTGAAATAGGATAGGAGTTTTTATTTATTCTCCGTTCTGGTTCACTTGATATAGACGCCAGTTGTTGGGACAAAGGATTGGTCATCTGAGGGTTCTTGAGGTGTCCAGATAGAAAAGGAGTCATTAGCAAAGTTTGGAAAATAAATGTAAGATAAATCGGTCCCCTTGGGCATCAGTACTCATTTAACTGGGCCCGTCGTTCGCTCGTTTGGCAGCAAGCTGGGCTATGGTGAAGGTGGCCGTGGTTCAAATCCCAAATACATTGGGCGTTCTTGGGTGTGTCTTTAGTTGTAGTTGTAGGCGTTAGTTTTTGGGTTTGTTGGTTTTTCATTAAAAAATCAAACAACAATTAAAATAGTCTAAGAAACTACGTCATACACAAACTCAAATCAAGACGTACACAAGTTACAAATTTACCATTGACATTTTATTTGAATTTCTGAAGAAACAAATTAATTTGTAACAACAAAAACGTCGACTACTACCACGACACTTGGAAAAGGGTGAGGGAGAGGTGGGGGGGGGGGGTAACAGGATCAGGGTACAAGGGAAAAACAACAAAACAATACAGGGACGATGATGACAGTGATTTCTCTACTTGACGTCTTTCACAGAGTCGCCAGAGTGAGGAATACTATCACAAACATAGCATAATAAGTTAGAGACCACTACTGGAGTACCGTACTGACCAAAAGGAATAGGGATGTAGGAAAAGGTTGATGAAGAGTATCAGGAAAGAGAAGTGGCGGGGGGGGGGGCAAATGAAGCGAATCGTTAAATATATTTCATTACAAAAGTATAAAGTTTTTGTCTTTGGGATAATAATGAAAGAGGAGTCGACTTCACCCACATGAAACAAACGACAAGGACGAATGAAGCAATGATGAAAGTTGTGGTGAAGTTTTCGTCAGAAGGTATCATCCTTCGGTTCTGCTTCTTGTCACTGACTGACTGTGATCTTTGTTGTTCTTATACGACTGCAACTGTCTTACCAGTGTGTTGTTTGTAGATGATGGATGAGCTGCTGCTGCTTGCAGTGGTGGTGATGATGATGATGATGATGATGATGATGATGATGATGATGATGATGATGATGATAATGATGATGATAAAGAGGAGAAGGAGGAAGAGGAGGAGGAAGAGAATGCTAATGACAACAAAGGAACATTAACAAACCTGATCTTAAACAACGCAAAATTACGACAACGGAGTCTTCTCTAATTATAAACATTCCAAATCACACTCGTATACAAAAGAATATTATTTCATTGCATCGACATGTATAAAGAGAACTTTGCGTCATACATTCGCTTTGCATGAACACACTGAAGGACATTGCATTGACATACTAGGATTTTAGGACACTAAACAAACATATAAGGACATTGTTGTGAACATTAAACACATCGCACTCACAGTACCAACTCAGAAAAACAAATCTGTACCCACAACACGGTCAATAACGTAGAGTAACATTGAAATCACATTTAAACTAAAGAAAAACACTTTCACTATAATATGAAGAGCTCCATAGCAAAACGCACTCGATCCGTTTCTGCAAAACTGAGAAAAATAAACAAAAACTGTTCTCAGAAAGCAAATGTATGAATGAAATGCAATTTTATTAGACTAAATATCGAGAAATATAGTGCATTTTGAGAAAAAATATATATTATAATATTATATATATATTTCCACAACAATTCTTATCACAAGATTGTAGAGAGGAAAGAGTTTTCAGGAAATGTCCAGGTTTGACAAATTGTGCGTTTTGCAATGGGTTCCTTCATATCGTCGATCTCGCAAAGAATCCACTTAAGTCTGTTTGTGTACTTCTTGCGACAAAACCCCCCCCAAAAAACCCTAGTTTTTGTAGTGTTCTTCCTATCAAGAATCATGAAAAATATGAACATTGTAAGCTTTATCCATAGAATTAAACTGCATTTTGGTGATGTTGATAGGTGCTTCTTTGACAGAGTTTTGGGTGGGGGTAAAAATTTTAAAATTCTCAAAATTTGGACTCAAGTGGATTTCTTGTGACAGTGACGATAAAGACATGACAGGATTTTAGAATGATAAACTCTTACTTTTCAAAGCTACGTGAGCGGTTTGTTCAGCTAAGGAAGTCATTACACAGACGATTAAGATCTTGCAAGAGACTTAAGAAACATATATACGTATGTACTCACGCAAAATGGACACCTTTGTTCTATTTTTTTCCAATGAGCAGTATCTATTATATTTTGGCGCAAGAATAGCTTGATGGCGAAAGAAAAATGGTGGACACCAGAAGAGAACTACAAAATTATAGTCGCTCCAATACGCTGTTGACATAGCACCTTTACGCATACAAGTGAACATGTAATAACAACGTTGAATTTGAATCAGAACAATGGACAATCTAAGATAATAACTTTATGACGAACAGAACGTTGCATTGATACCAGAGGAAAAGGAACAACGGACAGAGACGGGGCACTCAATGAGCTCACCGCCGACACGACTTACGCATGCGCGGTGGACACATAACTGAGGTAATGAGCAGGACGAATGTTTACCTGAACGGAAACAGAATTTTCCACTGAGGAAGTGACGTCAGCGTCCTCACAACCGGAAACTGACGAGGAAACCCGTTTTTGCAGGTGTAAAGGAGAGGAAAGTGAAAAGAGAACACAAAACAAGGAAAGTGAAGTAGAAAAATGATAAATCAATAAACGATACCGCAAAGATATGAGAAGGTATTGTAAGTTAAGTTTGAGAAAAATGTATCAGCAATAAAGCATTAAAATTTTTTTAAATCCATAACATTGTAATAAGAACGACACATGCAATTAAACTGTATTTTCATGCAAATAATACAACGTATCTATGCAGCAAATGATGTTTGCTTTATTTCAGTAACAAAAACATGGACAAAATAAATTCTCCAAGGGAGTTTACCCCGTCGTCTATGACCAAATTCTATGGCGAATGCTAAACATTTGGGAAGAAGGACACGAGCTAAATACAACAAGAATTCATCAACAAAGCGCAGTAGACAGATATTCTTCCTATTTCTCCTCTCAATATTCGGATGTCACAACCCTGACATGTTCTGAGGGAGCAGTACAGCTCGCACCATTCATCGAAAACTAATACTCATACTTTATCAGTCTGAAGGATAGTACTATGAGTCCAACCATAATAAATTTTATAGCCATCTGCCCATTCGTTTTAACTCCTTATTCTTCGTTTTGCTTGACCCCCTCGTTCTCTGACTTATATGGCTCCCATAAATCTCTCTCTCTCTCTCTCTCTCTCTCTCTCTCTCTCTCTCTCTCTATCTCTATCTCTATCTCTATCTCTCACTCACTCTC